TTTTCATCCCTGGTACTTTTCATCCCCTGTATTCCCAGTAGGAAGTATTGAGGAACTTTGATGGTCTCAGTCAACAGAACTACTGCAGGCAACCTCTCCACATAAGACACCAAGAATAAATAAATACCACTGGATCTTTTGCAGGGGTTGCCTAATGGCCAAACCTTACCAAAGCCAGAAATGTGCAGAAGCCAGTTGAAAACGTATAAATAAGTCAGTCTCCTGGAGCAAAGATGAGGAGGGAAAAATGCAGATCAATAAGAAAATAGTCAACACACATGATTAAATTCCTGTGTCTACATATGCTCCTTAACACACAAATACACTCATGCACAGAACTTAAAAAAAAAAAAAAAAAAAAAAAAAAACCTTTCAGAAAGGAGTTTTCCCTGGAAATTTGAACTTTTGGGATGTCTTTCATTTTCAAAATTTCCACCATTAGAGACTTCAGAGATAGAATATTACTTATAACCCATGGTTGTTGTGTAGCAATGGGTAGTAAATTATAAAGGAAAAAAACTAAACAAATATATTTTAATACTAGGCCCTTTATATATCTTATCTCATTTAATCTTCAACATTACCCTATGAGTTACAAACCATTGTCCGTATTTTACAGATAAGTTGAAACTCAAGTAGTTTAAAAAACTTGACCAAATCACACAGAAAATACAAGGCAAATCATTGAATCTCAGGCCTGCTTGATTTTAAAGCCCTTTCGGCTAATCTTTCCCCACAAATACTTAATGTTAACAGACTATACTTGAGTACATCAATCTCAAACAGTTAACATTTTGCTAGCAAAAATCAGGTAAAAATAGTCGATTAAAGATATAAAAGGGGAAGATTAGCTGCAGAGAATCCAATTGCAATCTGGTAGACTATTAAAGGGAGAATCCTGGAGGTAAAGGAGTTAGGAAGGGGGCAAATATCTCAGGATAAGGGAATAAATATGACCTTTGACTCCTTCCCACTCTCTACCTTGCTGAGCCAGCCCTGCCACTTTTCAGTGCCTATGGACTTTACACCTAAGGTGTTCACCTTCCACAAAGGAAATGCTTTATTATGTCTACAATGATGCCATGCCTCACCCCATATAATAATTTCACCAGTCTTTCATATTCCCGTGCCCCTACCTGCTGTCAGGCAGCAGTGAGCAATGGTTACTGATTGCAGCCTTGCTGCAAATACCCTAAGGGCTAAGGACTCTTTGGTTTGCACCTGCCTTTGTACACGTGTGCTGTCACAGTAAAATTTAAAACACACCTACTCAGAAAGGAGGATGTTGTTCCTGATGAATTTACATCTTGATAAGACCAAGTGAGTCAGTGACTCCAGGCAGACTCTGCTTGGGCTTTAAGGGATCTGCAAGCATGAGTGCACATCACATGTGCTTTTTTCCTTAAGCAAAAATGACCCACCGGAAATGACTAGTAAGAGAGATTATGGAGTTATGTTCTTTTCATTTTTTTTAAGAGACACACTCAATGCCCTGCTACAGGCCTTTGACGTTTTCTTTTTTTGGAAGAATTAACTGGAACACAAATAACTTCCAGGGCTGGGCAGTCCCTCCCTGAGTCAATGGGGAATCACCAGCAGTCCTTTTATTTTTGCCTCAAATTTCACAGTTGTTCTAAGTCCAAACATTCTTCTAGCTTCTTCAATTTCCACACTGGATTCTGTAGAACTTATTTGTGAATGTTCTGTTTACCCAGTTTGCCTTCCTACATGAGCTGTGAAATCATTTCAGATGGCAAGCTGGATAAAGAGCTTAAAATAGTGTGGCCTTTATTCTTTATCAGCTTAACTTTGCCAACTACTGGCCAATTTGGGCTTTGGATAAATGAAGGAACGCTTTTCAGCTATTTATATTTTCTTTGCCATTCATGGAATAATTTAATTCATAACTATCTTAAGTAAAAGATCCTCTCTTAAACTCATGGAGTATTTCTTGAACAAATATCTGATTGGCTAGGTCTCAAGTTCCTCAAATGGCTCAAAAACTGAAAGCTGGCAAATATTTGGAAATTAAAAAAAAAATTAAAAATACTGTCCATAAAGTTCATTACAATATAATTATAACACATATCATGTGGTATTTATTGATAAATTGTGATCCATTTGTACACATGCAAGAGTTCATGTGTTTCATTGCTGGAGATAGCAACTGGACCTCTACCACCTCCATCAACATCACCATCACCACAACAGTTCCACATACCCTGTTTTTGTGTAAGACCACTTTCAAATGCTGAAAAACTTTGACTGCAGTGTCTCTGGATTCTTATTTGTACTGACTTATAGTTGTGCCTCTTTACAAAGCAAATACTTTCTCTCATGTATTAAAACTCTGTGTGCCCCACAAAATATATGTAGGACAATGACAATGCTATTTTATTCATCTGAAATTTGGCAAACTCGTCTGTGCAGATAGATTTCTGTAATGTCCCTTGTTAAAATGCTTTACTATTTTTCTTTTTCTTTCTGGCTTATTTCACTGAGCATGATCCCTTCCAGCTCCATCCATGTTGCTGCAAATTGCATGAGTTTCTCGTTTTTGATTGCTGAGTAATATTCCATATGTACCACATCTTCTTGATCCAGTCATCTATTTTTGGGCATTTGGGTTGTTTCCAAAGCTTAGCTATTGTAAATAGTGCTGCTATAAACATAGGGGTGCAGGTGCCCTTTGGAATTAATGTTTCTGTGTGGAGTCTTAAAGTGCAACACACATCCTGGGGGATGTGTAATCCTGTGTGTGCTAGACACAGAAGACATAGGGTGGGGGTAGGGGGAGGTCATGTCTCCACAACACAGAAATCAAAGCTAAAAGCTAAACACATCTTCTTGCTTCTTCAGTGCACTGTATGATTTCAATTACTTTGACGAATTAGTGTTCTAGGTAAAATAATGATTGTATATTTTATAGCCTCATGACATTTCTTTGAATAACGGGAAATAGACTCGTGTCACACAAAATTAGGAAACTAAATTTCACAGTGCCTTGTAAGCTTTCAGTCAAATTACAATCCCATGTCCATCAGTATATAGTATCTTTCATGAAAAAGATAAATATTCTTTACATTGTTTGAATCTTTCCTTTTCTTTTTAAATATTCTACAGAAATTCTACCAATATGCCACTGATACTTTTTCACAAACCAAAACCCAGATTAAAAAGATGTACTACTGTTTCCTTAGAAATATTTTTTCAATATAAGAAATATTTGATTCTAATAAAGGTCTGACTGGCTGTAATGTAAATAAATAGGAGTTTCACTTCCTCTTAAGCATTTGAGAGGGATTTTACTGTAAGAACTGAGTTTCATAAGCCTTTGTTTCTGGCCTCTAGGTAAACTCTTAAGTAAAAAAGATCAGTTACCATATGTCTCTATGGTGGCTATGCCATACAGCCCAGGTGTATAGTAGGCTGTACCATCTAGGTTTGTTTAATTATACTTTGTTGCTTGCATGATGACAAAAATCACCCACCAAGGCAGTTCATATATACAAAGGACCAGTTCTAAGTCTCATAATTTAAAATAAGCAATAGCAAGCTTTGACAATACCCACAATTTGCCCAAGGAAAAATGTCATTATTCTCACTTTTGTTAACAACAGTTTTTGGGAAAAAGCCATAAATCACTCTGACGTAAGAGAGGTAACAGGAAATTGGCCTACAACTGAGTCATCTCCGCTATCAGTATGGAGATAGTTTAATGGTTTGTTTACACAAGTTTTCCTAACCTGTGAAGCAGAGTTTTCTCTGTAAAACAAGAGAAATGCTATTTCTCATAACTTCCTTCATTCAAATGTAAGGAGAAATCATAGATTTTTTTTAAAAATCATACATCTTCTCACTAAGATATTGGGCATTTAACAATTCCAAAAGCCATCATCATCTAGGTCATCGCTTTGTTTTTACTGGAGATATCCTTATTATATTTGACAGCAGGAATACAGAAATGTTCCTCAAGTCAAATTCCCCCAATTTATCTCCAGACCTAAAGTATAATTTCTAAATGGACTATAAAAGAAACTAAACAGATCATCAAAAAGCTTGGTAAAATGTCACTGTTAGCATTGTAATAGTCATTGACGATCCTGTTAGTCATGAATGCATTTCAGCCTTTAATTGCAGTCATGAGTTGCTTTCCAACTAGGATATTTTCTGATAAATGCCTTGTTGGGTGATTTTTGTCATTTGTGCAAGCAACAAAGTATAATTAAACAAATCTAGATGGTACAGTCTACTATACACCTAGGCTGTATGGCATAGCCAACTGTGTCCACCATAATATTTGTGACTTGTTATTGATTAAAGTAAGGTTAAGGGATGTATGACTGTATATATTTTAATCCTAAAGGGCCATGTAAATGGATTTCAGACTAGCAGTTTTACGACTTGGGCCACACTTTCGTTGGCATCAAAATCAGAAGCTCAAAAGAAAAAATGAGAAGCTCAAGTCTATTCATTTCATCAGCATCTCACATTTCAAAGTGAAATAATATGAACTATGAACATATGTGACCCTTTTAGGTGACGGTCACCAAGGAAAAGACTAAGGAATAGAAATTCTATGCAGGGCCTCCCCAGTGGCGCAGCGGTTAAGCGCTGGGTTGCGAGGTTGCCCGCAGGCTCTCCAGCACCAGTTCGATCCCCGGCTGCTCCCCGGCCACTGGAGGAAGGTCCCACATGACGTGCAGACCTCTCCTGCCTCCCGCTGCTCCCCTCAGCAGTGTGCTTCGTCAGTCTGCCTGCTCTGCTCTCCCCTCTGGCTCTGGTGGGTTCTCTCACCCTCCCGTGCTTCTGACTGTGCCTAGTACTTGTATAAATAAATTAAAAAAAAAAAGAAAGAAATTCTATGCAATAATCTTATTGGAGAATGCTCTGGGACTGAATATTCTTTAAAGGAGTGAAAGAAGCAGGATCAGGTGAAAGAAGAACTTCAAGTACAACAGAAGCTTCACCATATCCCACAGGGTGCTATGGAAACAGAATGGCCTTACACAATTGTTCTGGCTGAGACAAGAAGGATGAACCTACAGATTCCACTGGCCAGCAGCCACCAGTCGTTGGAAAGGTCTTACCCCTGGTGAAGTTGGGTGAAGCAGCTCCCTTCTGCCAAGAGCAGTGTCCTGAGAAGTACTCAGGTGTGAGCCTTCAGCAGTTGGTACAATGAGAGTTTGGATCATGAAGAAGGCATCTGGGTAGAGCACTACAGCATCCACTGTGAGGGGGAAATTTTCCAAAAGTCGGGGTTTGCAGAATATTATTGTAAATGAAGTAGTGATTATATTTAGTTTGATAAAAATGGCTTGAACTTTAGTATCTCTAGAATAATTACCATCAATAGCTCACTCATAAGCTGACATAAATGAAATTCAGAGAGAGAAATGATGCAATAAATTACTTCAAAAAGTAATTTCTAATGACCTAATCATCTCCAGTGTCATCATAAGTTCCATGCAGTCAAGTCTGTGGACCTGTGAACTTTATCTTATCTCTGAGTTATCTCTGAGTCACCTAATGAAAAGAATAAGGAAAACGTAATCTTTGCTGCCTAACAGTTTTCTTTTTCATCTGATGTCCCAAAGTTCCAGTTCTGGAGAATGGTTTGGCTCTTAATGTGAGAAAGGCTCCTCAAAGCACATGGATGGTATGCTTGGTGGAAGGGAAGTTGAACGCATACTACAACTTGGCAAAGAAGACATAGAAACTCAAGGTACTGGACAATCTTTCTCTTTTACTACCTGTGAAAGGGAATAGCACGTCAGCATCTAAGCACCTATAAGTTCATTCTCTCCTTATGCTGTATATCACTCCAATTAAAAGATATTTAGATGTCCTTTATTTTCTAAGTCGCAGAACAACTAAGGTCAACAAATGAACTTTAAGAATAGGTAAGAAAAATACAGGCCACTTTCTAAAAACCATACTAAGAATTTATAGGGTATTTTTGGAAAAGTGCATATTTCAAGACTACTTTTAATTTACTGTAAACATTTTCTTAATTTGAGAGAAAATATTTGGCTGTGAGATGTGCTAAAATAATATATCTTGGTAGGGTATTTTTATGCATCATACAAAAAAATAAAGAAAATTAAACAAAAGTTCTAGAAAAAAGAAAAGCAACTTTCACTTTGAGATGACAAACTGAATTTTGAAATAATTTCTTTGAAAAATAACTTGTACTTCCCTAAAATGCAAGGAGTTAGAGGAAAATAAGTACATCGCATAAAGAAAACTGAAACTGTGTCCAGAATCAGTTTTGACTGTCATGGCACTTTCTGCCAGTTGCATACAGGTTCTCCATGGGTTTACCCTGGTACATGCACCGCATGTGTCAGGATCTGCCCCTCAGTGGCTTTGCAAGAGTAAACCGATTTTATACCTCAGTGGCTCACTCTCAGAACATAGACTCGCACTAACAAAGATCACAAAGATTGATAAATAAATCAGGTTATTAATATTTAGCAAGTGTCAGCCGATGAACATGGACACCCCCTTATATCTGACAGGTACATCCATCTCAGGAAAACTGCATGGAAAGTCAAATCATCAGACAGTGGCTGGATTTACGTGGAAAACGGCTTGGTCATTTCATTGAATTGATTCTATTCACAGAAGGGACTATATTCTACGCAATTGCTATTTCTGAGAAGTAACCTAGAAACTTACATAAGTTGGGCAAGGCACATCTCCCCTGGATAAAGAGTTCTTTGATGGAATCTGGCAATAATGTATGATTCTTCTTCTCTATAACTCCAAAGATAGATCCAGTTTGGTTGGTACTGGAGTTTAATTAATTTTGAGATCCCTTAGGAGGGGGAGAATATAAAACTAGGCATAAAAGATATTTTTTATCTAGAGCGATAAAATCAAATGTTTGCAGATTTAGAAAACTAGTTAATATTCAAAATCAAAAAATCATATACTTTTATTATTAATTTAACAAAATGCCTGATTCACCATTTAATATTTTCCCACATTTGACTCCTTTTTTCATGTGGCTGCACTTTTCCAATATCATGTTCTAAAGAGAGACTAGAAAGATATTTCCGGTTTTTTCAGCAGCACAGCAAAATCAAATTTGTTTTTTATTATAGAGGTTTACAAAAGTTTGTTTCAGTTTCTCAAGTTGTTATTATGATGCTACATCTTTATCTTCCTCCCTTGTTTCTTACTTAGGCAGTAGGGCGAAAGAGAGGCGGTGGGTCCCTTGGAGAGCCCCAGTCCTTTGATCACCCTGGTTCCCAAGGCTCCCTGCTGCTGCAGCTGTTCCAACAAGAACTTCAGTCCCTGTCCTATATCCCTATATCTCCTGCCCCTGCGGTCTTCTTGGGAGGAAGTGTACAAGACACTGTGAACCTGGGTCAGAGGAAACTTCCAGCAGTGGTTCAGATCTTTCCTTGGAATCAAACTTAATGCTAGGATGTTTCCAGGTCTGCCGTCTTGGTGGAGGTAGTGCCGGCCGCAGAGACCACACACTTAGCCCCATGAATGACTCTGCCTGGCTTAGAAGGGGCCCTTTTCCCCTGGGTTTGATCAAAGGCTACTACTTCCTCTGCCTCCACACCATCCAGTAGAATCCAGGGATTTTGAGAGGGCCTGGGGGTGGAAAGGAAGGAGGTGCTGAAGCTTAAGTTTCACCAGCATCAGGTCACATTTTGCCTCACTCAAGTTATTGGTCTTACTAGGGAACCATCCTATTTCAAAGTAGAGGCACATAAAACACACAGATTTCAGATCAGTCCCTGCAGATTTTGTTCAGAATTTGGGACAGGGCCCAGACTGCATTTTTTAATAACTGTCCTCAGATTTCTTATGCTCTGGTATATTTTGGGAAAAGGGCTGGAATTCTATTAGAGCATTTCAACTTTGAATCTTTAAGCATGGATTAAATATTTTGAATCTCAATAACCAATCTTATTTCCCTCATTTCCAGCTTTCTAAGATATATCTGTGGGGGCATGCACACGTGTGTGTGTGTGTAGTGGTAGTGTGAGGAGGGAGAATGTATGGGTCTACATGTACATTGTGTGACATAGGTAGGGTGTGAGCGCTGCATGTGCAAGTTGTGCATATGGGGAATAAAAAGTGGTGTGTGTGTGTAGCACATGTGTGAGTTGTGTATATCTGGTGTATAAGGTGGTGTGATGTTATTAAGTTGAGCCTTTCCCAAGACAAGTGTCATAATTAATTTCTTTTTATTTTTAAAGATTTATTTATTTATCTATACAAGCACTGGGCACAGTCAGAAGCGCGGGAGGGTGAGAGAACTCACCAGAGCCAGAGCAGGGAGCAGAGCAGGCAGAAGGACCGAAGTACACTGCTGAGGGGAGCAGCGGGCAGCAGGAGAGGTCTGCGCGCCATGTGGGACCCTCTTCCGGTGGCCGGGGAGCAGCCGAGGATGGAACCGGCACTGCAGAGGCTGTGGGCAGCCTCACAAGCCAGCGCTCAACTGCTGCGCCACCGGGGAGGCCTAGTCATAATTAATTTCAAAGAACAATATTGATTGACCAAAAAAAAACCTTTGTACTTTAAATAGCAGAATAAAGTTAAATGACATTGCCTATAAACATTCGTTTAATTTTTCTTGGTAGATTACTTTGATCTGATGAACCAGCGAGCTAAATTAAATTTTGAAATATAATAATATAGTAATGTCTTCATCTTTCACTTAGAAAGCTCTACCCATATTAGCTTGTGACACGTGCAAAACAAGTTATAAATGGCTAGTCTTTAGTACCCACTAGAGATGAAAAATAGTAGGTAATAATTTATTAATAGTCCACTCAATCAGTGGTAGATCCAGAAATTAAAACAGCTCCCTAGGGATCTATATTTGGCCTCATGTTCTACTTTCTCTTACCTTGAAGAGAAAAGTTTAAGGGCTTATATGTTAGAATTCTTGCTCCACCGCTCAGGATTATGTCACCTGAGAATTATGGACAACAGTATCTACTTGATAGGTTTGAAGAAGTTTAAATGGGATAATAATAATCAGTAAATATCTGTTTATAATAAAAGTGTTAGTAAATTTCTTATGATCTTTTGCCCCGTCCTAGTTTTCTAGTACTAACACCATTCTTCATGCCTTAAATACTATTGTACAAAATTAATTCACTTGAAAAAATTCCCTCCAAATATGTGATTAGCACCTAACATTAACATAAGATTATATAATTTCATGTATGTAATAATTTCTTTCAATAAATTTACATTTTTTACTTTACTCAACTTTAGCTATTATTTTTTATTAAGCAATTGATAATTATTAAGCTATAATATGTAAAATTATGGGGTTAAAGTTTCATTTAGAGTAAGTTCTAACTTAACACCATCAATAGATTCTTAGAAACTATACCTTTTAATGCAAGGACATATAACAAAGGCAGGTTCTCAAACGAGATTATTTCATTCAACACTGGTTGGTATTGTCTTTGTTCTCATCAATATCATAACAAAATGATGTTGAACAAAATGACATTATTTGATGACCTATTGTAATACATGTTAACATAGACATGTAACTACAAAATAAGTTACCATGCAACCCCTGCAGTCACACTCAAGCTTCTAGGACCAGAACTCAGCAAACACTGTACCTCAGCCAGCACTGACCAAAACTGTTGAAGTCTCTAGAATTGTCAGTAGAAGAGCTCCTGCTCCTTCTAAAAATAACCTGTTCTCATGTTGCTGAGTCCATGGCATACATTTTTTTTAAAAGATTTATTTAATTATGCATACAAGAGCTGGGGTGTAGGCCAGAGGTATGGGAAGGGGTGAAAGGATTCACCAGGGACAGAGTGGGGAACAAAACAGGCAAATCTACCGAAATACACTTCTGAGGGGAGCAGCGGGCAAGTCAGGAGAGGTCTGCTGCGCCATGTGGGTCACCTCCCTGGCCAGGGATCAAAACTTGTGCTGCAGTGGCTGCAGATTGCTTCACAGTGCTGTGTCTTAACCCCTTGCACCACCAGGGAGGCCCCATGTATGGCACAGATTTATCATGACCACAAAATAACTGAACCATTAAATAAAACCCACGAAATTGTCAAAGCTTCTAAATGACTGCATATACCAACTGAATGTACCTGGTCCTAACACAGAGAGACAATATATGAAGGCATCTTGCTGTGTGGCTTATCTGTGTGAAAACACACAAAGCTCCCTTCAGCAAATCCCCTCTTGCGCTATTGTACAACTATATACCTTTATTTACCCATTTAGCTCCAGAATATAAATGATTAAGAAAGCTAATTATTGAGCATGATCCCTTCCAGCTCCATCCATGTTGCTGCAAATTGCATGTGTTTCTCTTTTTTGAATGCTGAGTAATATTCCATGGTGTATATGTACCACATCTTCTTGATCCAGTCGTCTATTTTTGGGCATTTGGGTTGTTTCCATAGCTTAGCTATTGTAAATAGCACTGCTATAAACATAGGGGTGCAGCGAAATAATCCATAAAGAAAAAGAAAAATATCGGATGGTCTCACTCATAGCAGGAATTTAGAAAACCCAAATAAGGGACCAGGAAAAAGACTAATTATAATAAAGAAAAAATTAAAATCGACAAGCAACTATAAACCAGAGACACACTAATGGGGGCGGGGGGGGGAAGAAAGGAGGGATTATGGCCAAAACAAGGGTAGTGGGAATTGTACGGAGACTATAACCAAGATGAAAATGCATACATTGTGCAAAAATGAAAAATGATATAAGAATTATATAAAATAAAATATAAAAAATAAATAAATAAATAAGAAAAAAGAAAGCTAATTACATGTTGGTAGAAGTACAATTAAAATTTATGAGATTTCTTTTTTAAAGGTTTAAGTTTGAACTTGTTTTCCAGAACTGAGCCACATGTAAATATATGTGGCTAGGAATATTAACATGAGAGAAAACTTTAGTAATTTTAATATATTATGCAAACAGTTCTTAGTCTCTGTATTGGAGGTTACCGAGTCAGGTTTTAAACATACTGGTTGAGTTACAAGATATGCTACACAGTTTTATTAGCACAGACAGAAGAATCATAATGGGGAACAAGAGAGACAAAAAGAATACATGGGTTTGTCAGTGAGCTTGGTGGTCTTTGCTAGTCAACATTCTTTGAGAAGAACCAAATGCTATTTCACAGCCTCTGGTGAGTGGGTTATGGGGAAATCTTTAAGCTAGAAGTTATTATAAAGGTGTTTACTGATGCTTTAAGGTAGGAGGCGTGAGTACTATGATCAGATCTATTACCATCTGCAAACCTGGGACAATAAAATTCCTTCGGAATATAACTTGAATTCAAAATGAAAGTATGGCACACTCATCTTGTCTGAATTTGAAAAGTCTTCATAAGTAGAAAACTAATTTCACATTCAGACATTAAAGCTATCTCAATTTGAAAAAAAACATAACCATGAAAACTAGGTTCCAGAAGTTTTTTGGGAGATGCCTGTGTTTCCCTTTTAATCAGTTTCTAAACTGTGACATTTTAATTGTGGAATTGAAATCAATTCCGTTCACCATACTGAAGCTCAGGGCCTTCTGAAAACACTGCCAGCAGGGATTTATTCAAGCCAATTCCAATTTGGCTCAAAAAAAGCCAATTATTTAGAAATTCTAACCAAAAACATGAGGAAAAGTAGGAAAATGTGTGCCATTTCAGCACGCTTTCCTTATGACAGGAGCCAACATTATTATCCTTCCTTTCAACAGAATTCCATGTGCATAAAAATAAAATTTAAACACAGCTGTACTCTGTTC